AGACAGACAGACAGACAGACAGACAGACAGACAGACAGACAGACAGACAGACAGAGAGAGAGAGAGTTTTCGCCTTTAGGTTTAAAAAAAAAGACAAACTAAGATGCCGCCTTATCAGAAACAATAACGTCTTGAACATGTCCACAGGGGACGAACGGCTAGGCAAGGCTTTCAGTCTGGTCAACCTCATCTCTTCTGTCACTGTGTTGACTGGACCGCTCATATGTGGTGAGGAACTTTGATTATAATAAGAATGATGAAAATAATATTTCGTCCTCATCAACATCATCATCATCATCATCATCATCATCATCATCATCATCATCATCATCATCATTATCATCATCTAATAACAGGGTGTGGCACCCTGATGGGGAGGGGGAAATAACTGCAACATTAATTGCTGTCATGTTTGTGGTGGTGATGATTACGGTGGTGGTAATGATGATGACGGCGATGATGATGATTAAGATGATAAAGATGATGATGAAGGTAACTTACTTCTTCTTCTTCTCCTCCTCCTCCTCATCCACCCCCCCCAAAAAAAACCCCACTCTGGTGACGTCACAGGACGACTAAGGGACACAACCGGAACCTGGGAAGCAGCTCTTGTGTTCTGTGGAGTTTCTGCCCTTTGTGGGGCTTCTCTTCTGCTGTTGTTTCCCTTGGCACAGAGACTCAAAGACCGGATGGAAGACAGAATGGAAGACAGAATGGACACACAGAGACTCAACGACAGGATGGAAGACAGAATGGAAGACAGAATGGACACATAGAGACTCAAAGACAGGATGGAAGACAGGATGGAAGACAGAATGGAAGACAGAATGGACACACAGAGACTCAACGACAGGATGGAAGACAGAATGGAAGACAGAATGGACACACAGAGACTCAAAGACAGAATGGAGGAGGCAGGGGAGGTGAGGGCGAGAGGTCCTTACCCTGCAGAGGACAACTATCCACAGCTCTCTTGTTCTTATGAAAATAGTCATATCAATTCTGATGTGTGATGTATAAATGTTGTGGCGTCGGTGGCCTAGCGGTTAGGCTACCGGACTCGTAATCGTGAGGTTGCGGGTTCAGGGGTTCGAGCCGCGGGCCCGACGTTGTGTCCTTGGGAAAGGCACTTTACACGAATTTTCCTCACTTCACCCAGGTGGGAATGGGTACCCGGCCATAGACAGTCTTGTCAGTGTGTTAGTGTTTTAGCGCATATAAATGGATGCTATCTATCTATGATGATGATGATGATGATGATGATGATGATGATGATGATAAGGATGATGATCTGCAGAGGACAACTATCTACAGCTCTCTTGTACAGATGAAAATAATCATAATATAAATTCTGAGGTATAAATGTTGATGATGAGGATGATGATAATGATTGGTGTTTTTCTTCTTTTTTTTCTCAACTTTTCCCAGAGTGAGCATTATTGTTATATTATGACAATCAGATAGCGTCGTAGAAAAGCAGATCAAAAGGCAATCAGACAACATACTATTGTACAAACAAGGGAACCACAAAATAATCAGATAGCGTTGTAGAAAAGCAAATCAAAAAGAAAGAATCGGATAGCATCATAGAAAAGCATTCCCAAAACAATCAGATCTTATGGTAGTAAAAAAAGAACAACCTAAAATCATCGTAAAATCAAATTGTTTAAACAATCATGTATAACTAAGTTTGTGTGTATAGTCGAAAAAATTAAGTGCACAAACAAACAGACCAAACATCCAGCAAATCGAAAAGCAGACAAACAATGCAGAAATGATTTAATTTATTAAAATAATCACAAAGTAAGTCAGTCGGCAGGGTCGCCAGAATATTTTTAAGCTTCCAGCAAAACCGGTGAGAAAAAAAACCTGCTAAAACTTGCATAAAACTGCCCAACTCTGCAGTGGACGATGTAATTGTAATGTTTGTGTTTTAGATGTAAACGTCAACTTTTATTGATCATCACTGGCCATCGCCAATACTGGTAGACTTTCGGGGCTTTGCAGATTACAGAGGTGATATTAAGATAAGAGGAAAACAGAATTTAAGAAAACTGCCAACATACTGTCATACTGACAAAGGACTTTCTTTCAGCCAAACGACTCAAATTTAAAAACTGACAGAAGTTTTACCTTTGGCAGAGTCGAAAGCTCGTCTCCTAAATTATCTAAATTGTGTCGATGGGGGCATAAAAACACTTACATTATTTTTTTTTTAAGAACATCAAAAAGTGAATTTCGTCTGCTCCTAAAAAAATCTTTGCTCTCCTTTGTTGATGACGTCTATTTTTGTGTGTGGTTTCCGGACTCGTATTCGTGAGATTGTAGGTTCGGGGGTTTGAGCCTCAGCTCGGTCCGACGTTGTGTTCTTGTGAAAGGCACTTTACAGGAATTTCACTCTTTTCCTCGGTCCTTTCTGAAATGGACGTATAACTCGGAGGTCCCGCCTCTTAAATAACCTAACATTTTGGTGTGTGGCACATATTATGTGTTACGACACGACGGAATCAGACGCTCGTCAATTTTGGAGCATATGGAGTTTTTGGTAGCATCTCAAAACTTGTTCATTTGTCTTGCTTTCAAAGGAAAAAAATACCCTTCTATCTTCAATAGAAGAAATATTTTGGATTGAAATAGGTGGGGTCATATGATTTCAAAGGCAAAATTAGACAGAAAATGGCGCCAAAGTTTGGCGACTCCCAAAACTTGAGAGTCGTTGTAAATTGTAAATTTACAGTTTTCGTGTCTTTAATTACAGTTTTTAAGCAAAAGTCACACAACAAATTATTTTTAAATGGACATTAAAGTGCTGAGCCCAAAACTGAAAATTCAATAAAAATTGCAGAACTGGCAGAAAAATGCCAGTTTCTTCAATTACATTATTTTAACGAGCGCCTGATTTCACCACGATGCCTCACAGATTGTGTATGACTGGACCCTTGCATCTGCCATCTTCTACGGAAGACGTTTTTACCTGGAAGAAATATAATTGTGCCATTATTGCCTTGAATATTATGTTGTTAAATGATTATGATTTACAAACCACATGTGCATGTATTTAAAAACTTTAATAAAATCTCATTTTCGTTTAGTTTTGGGGTTTTTGTTGTTTTTTGTTGTTGTTTGTTTATTGGGTTTGGTTTGGGGTTGTTTGTTAGTGTTGTTGTTTTTTTTGGGG